AATTAACATCGGATTCCATTCAGACTTGACACATCTGCATATTTATATGAACACAGGATCTGTTCAAAAGACGGTAGAGATCGGACCATTCGTTCTGGTACCTCCCCCACAAAGGGTCAAAGTTTTGAATGACCAAAAGTTTTATAAAATCCGAAATAAGCATCAGGTTCTCTTTTTATTTCACACATCCCATTTTTTCCACTAACAAAAGATCCGCTTTGAAGATGGGATATATCCGTCCACTCCTTCTGGTACCTCCCCCACAAAGACTTTACATTTTGAATATTTATGAAGCTCCAAGCCTAGCACGTCGCAATATTTATATCATATTTATTAAGGTCCGATACGAAATGGCCAATATTGGCCCATTCCTTCGGAACCTACTCCATAGAAGGTCAATGATTTGAATAATCATAACAGAAGTCAAAATATTTTTAAATAATCGTACATTGGCTGAGGGTATACATCTGTCGGCATACCCGACCGATACTTTTTTTACTTGTTTTATTTATTTATTTGTTTTGAGCGGAGCAGTGCAAGGATCTTTATTTATTTTTTTATTTATTTATTTATTTTATTTTTTTTTTTATTTATTATTTTTTTTTTATTTTTTTTATACATTTTTTTTTTGTCGCTTCCAAGAATTTTCTCAATTCCCAAAAAACAGATATTAACAGAATAAAAAGGTGAATGTATTTTTTATTTCAAATTACTATTGGATGTGTCTGCTTTGGGGTGGGTGTTCTCTGTGTAAATTTAAACACACAATGTTGGCATTTTTTGTTTTTATTTTTTTTTTATAAAAATTTTTGGCAACGGTAAAAAAAGCGTCATTTTTTGACGCTGTAATTTTTTTTTTTTTTTTTTGGCTGTTTTTGTGTTCATAAATTATCAAGTTTTTCCCCCTTCACTCGTGCCATTGTTGTTAACACAAAGTTGTTGTGTTGCATTGTTGTTGTGCTGAAGAGTGTTGAGAAAAATATGATTATTATTACACATTGCAACAAAACAAAAAAAAATTGTCACATTTTGTGATTCATACATACATACATACGCACATACCTACACATGTTCAGACAATGATGAATGAATGTATAAATGTCTTTGTTTTCACTTTTGTGCTGTGTGTGTGTTTTTTTTTCTTCCCTTTATTTCATTCTTTCTTGCTTTGGGTTGTTAACACAGATTTGTACTTAAGATTTTTTTCGGTACGATTTTTTTGAAAACATTTTTTTTTCTTAGCTATTTTTTCTTTACAAAACATTTACATTCAACAAAACAAAAAAAAACTTAGGTAGAGAGCCGACAACAACGTCATCTTGTGATGCCTAGACATTGTACTTTAGATTTTTTTACGATGTGTGTGGCTCAATGTCGGGCCATATAAGTATAAGTGTGTGTATGTATGCCCATTCACATTTACACATGTGTGTGTGTGTGTGTGGATATTTTTTTGGCACTTCAAAAGCCATTAGGCCACACCACTTCATCACACCAAACATCATCTTTACGCTCTACAGCCGCCAAGATGTTCACATTCAAGCAAAGCGTAGAGAGCTGATGCTGATGTTCGGTTGTACGTTTCTTCGTCCGTCCATTCATTTAGATAGGCATTCAGCCGTTTAGTCATGAAACTAAAAGTGTTAACAGAAATTTTATGTTTTTTTCTTATTGTATTTTTTACACTTTGAACGGTTGAAAAATAAAAATTAAAGAACTATTAGCAAAGGCAAGGGGGAGGGGTCGAATATTCCCAACCATACAAAATACTCTGCTACAAATGAATTTCATTTTAGAAGTCATAGAAAGAATTTGAGTAATATAGGCAATTTTTTATTTTAATACCCTCAGCTATATGGCTAGAGAGGATACACAGGGTAAGATAAAAAACTGAAACAAAGTCAAACGTCATAATTTTTACATTTTTTTTTTTTAATTTTATATCGGAATATCGGAAATAACATTAAATTTTAAAATAAGTTTAGATTAGTTCGAATTGGTCACCTTTGGCACGAGACCGTCAAACGCTGCCCGGCAGGAGTGCTCTAAGGCTAGCCACTTGTGCCAAATATAAAGAAATCACACTATCACGCTTGAGTTCCATCAGGAATAACTTTTTTTTTTTCAGGAAAATTCTCACCAAAATACTTTTGTTCGCTTGTAAACAATGTAATGAGCTGTCACTGGAATAATTTTAACAGCTCTCGGAGGAGCGGCTTGGAAATGACAGCAGTCTGAAGTTGGTTGCAGTTTTTTTCATCACACCCTGTATACCATTTAATACGGCCAAAACGTGCCTCGTCGTAACAACGGTTTTAGACCCTATGTCTCTTTGGACCAAATCCATTTCAGGACATTTGGAGTCGATCTAGCGCTGTCTGTCTGTCTGTCTGGCTGGCTTTTGCCCACGATAACTCTCAAAGGGAGTACCCGATTTGATTCAAAATTGGTACATCGTAATATTATTATCAAATTTAGATCGAGTTTGGAGATGGGCAACATCGACCCACTCCTTCTGGTACCTCCGCCACAAAAGGTCGAACATTTTCAAAGAAAATATTATACTGCACAGAAAGAGAACGTATAATCTGATGTTGCTCCAACTTTGCGAATCCTAATATTTACATCAGCGCTAGGTCGGGTGCGAAAATGGACAATATCGGACAACTCTATCAAGTACCTCCCCCAGAAAGGGTCAACATTTTGAATAATTATTACTTTTATAACATGGGATGTAAGATTCCGATTATCTTGAAATTAGACATATCACAATGTTTTTAGTAACCCAAGGTCTGGTGTGAGGATGGGATATATCGGTCCACTCCTTCTGGTACCTCCCCCATAAAGGGTCAACATTTTGAATATTCTTGAAGTTCATAAATCCCGAAATTAACATCCGATTCCATTCAGACTTGGTAAATCGCAATATTTCCATCAACACAAGTTCTGTTACAAAGATGGTTCAGATCGCACTATTCCTTCTTGTACCTCCCCCACAAAGGGTCAAAGTTTTGAATAACCGAAGCGATTATAAAATCCAAAATAAGCATCCGGTTCCCTTCATATTCCACACATCTCATTATTTCAACTTACACAAGACCTCCTGTGAAGATGGGATATATCGATCCACTCCTGCTAGTACCTCACCCACAAAGAGTCAAAATTTTGAATATTCAAAACGCGAAAATTATATCCGATTCCATTCAGACTTGTCAAATCTCAATACGTGTATCAACACAAGATCTGTTATAAAGATAGTAGAGATCAGATTATTCCTTCTGGTACCTCCCCCACAAAGGGTCAAAGTTTTGAATAACCAAAACAGTTATAAAATCCGATATAAACATCCGATTCTCTTCAAATTACACACAACACAATATTTTTATTAGCCCAAGGTCTGGTGTAAAGATGGAATATATCGGTCCACTCCTTCTGATACCACCCCCACAAAGGGTCAGAATTTGGAATATCCATGAAGCTCATAAAACATGAAATTAACATCCGATTCCATTCACTCTTCGCACATCTCAATGTTTCCACCAACACAAGATCATTTATAAATTTGGTAGAGATCGGGCCATTCCTTCTGGTACCTCCCCCACGAAGGGTAAAAATGTTGAATAACCAAAACGATCATAAAATGCGAAATAAGCATCCTGTTCTCTTCAAATCACACACATCCCAATATTTTTATTAGCCAGAGGTCTGGTGCAAAGATGGGATATATCGGTCCACTCCTTCTGATGCCTCCCCCACAAAGGGTCAGAATTTGAAATATTCATGAAGCTCATAAAACCCGAAATTAACATCCGATTCCATTCAGACTTGTCACATTTCAATATTTCCATAAACACAAGATCTGTTATAAAGATGATTGAGATCGGACCATTCCTTCTGGTACCTCCCCCACAAAGAGTCAAAGTTTTGAATAATGAAAGCGATTATTAAATCCGAAATAAGCATCTGGTTCACTTCATGCTTCTCATATCCCAGTATTTCCACTAACACAAGATCTGCTGTGAAGATGGGATATATCGTTCCACTCTCTCTGGTACCTCCCCCACAAAGGGTCAGAATTTGGAATATTAACGTTTCCGACTTGGTGCACCTCAATATTTCCGTGAACATAAGATCTGTAATCAAAATGGTAGAGACCATTTCTTCTGGTACCTCCCCCACATAGGGTACAAGATTTTTAACTACAAAACGTTAAAAGAAAGGGAAATTAGCATCCAACTCGCTTCAAGTTTCATACATCCGAAAATTTTTGGTAACACAAGATCTGTTATGAAGATGATATACATCTGCGAACCCATTCTGGCACCTCAGACACAAAGGGTTACAATTTTCAATACTTTCATCTGTCATAATTTGCGAAACAAGTTAGTGATTCTTTGCAACTTGCAATATCTAAATATTTCTCTCAACCAGAAACCTGAGATAAATATGAAATTTATGATTTCGCAAAAAAATTGGATATAGATGTTCGATATTCTTGTAATTTTGCCCATAACAATATTTTTTTCTGTATTAGTTGAGGTATGAAAATGAAATACTTCGGTCGACTATATTTGGTACCTCAGTCACATTTTAATATTTTCTAGAAATTATCACATATCTTATATAAGGTGAAGGAAGTGGTTGATATAGTCCATACCTGGCACTTCGCAATATTTATATCACATTTATTTACTTCTGATACGAAATGGACAATATTGGCCCATTCCTTCAGAACCTACTCAATAGAGGGTCAACAATTTGAATAATCATTACAGTGGTCAAAATATATTTAAATAATCGAACATTGGCTGAACGTTTACCTATGTCGGGAAAATCGGCTAATACTTTTTAACTTGTTTTAATTTATGGTTAAATTTATTTATATATAATTTAATATATATTATTTTATTTATATATTTACTATATTCAATTATTTGTGTTATTCAAATAAATTCCAATTACTAATCATTTCATTCTCCATTTTTCTCCTCCACTTCCAGGTGCTGGTGAATCGGGCAAAAGTACAATTGTTAAACAAATGAAAATCATCCACGAAAGTGGGTTCACTCCTGAGGATTTCAAACAGTATAGACCGGTTGTTTACAGCAACACAATACAATCATTAGTTGCAATACTTAGAGCAATGCCAAATCTTAGTATTCAGTTTAGTAATAACGAAAGAGAGGTGAGTATCCACACATTTTTATTTTCTTATTCTTTTGATGTATGAAAGATCTCCTTTCCCCTCCCCTCATCTATTATCTCTTAAGTATTTATTTCCCATGGCTTTCCTTCATATTTTCTTTCTCCTTCCACTACTACTACTTTGAAAGTATGCCAAGTTTATGCAAAAAAACACTTGTGCCCCATTAATGCGCAAAGTAATACTAGGTCAATGGAATGGGCATAGCGTGTGATGTCTTTTTTTTTTTTTTTTTTTTTTTTTTTTTTTTTTTTTGAGAAATGGAAATTGTGGTTTCCCCTTAATGGCGCAATTTGCCAGATTTTTTGAGAGAAAAAGATAGATTTTTAATTTTTTGTCACATTTATTTGAAAATCAGGGATATAGTAAGTGAAATCTTTTTAAAACTGTATTAAAGCTTGAGGGATTCGAAATTGAGATTTTTTTTATAAGAATAAAACACATATTTATTTTTTTTTCCATATTTATTTGAAAATATAGTCTTGAGGAATTCAAAAGTTATGCTAAATAAACAATGTTTTAACAAATGTCTTTAGAGCGTATAAGTGCTATTAATTACTGAAGACAATGCGGCGTATGATTATTACTTTGATAAAATAATTAAATTAAATTAAATTAAATTAATTATACGTTTCCTGCATTAAATAATACATATTAGTACCGAAAAATCAGGAAAGGATCCATTAATGGGAAAACTGAAGTATTTCCCGCATATGTTGAAAGAATAAAATAAATTTTTAAAAGTTTTTTCATATTTGTTTGAAAATATAGGAGCATAATAAGTGAAATCAAGGGATTAAAGATTGAGTGATTCGAAATTGGGCTGATTTTTGAAGGAATAAAATACTTTTCTTTATTTTTCATATTTATTTAAAAATATAGAGTCATAGTAAGTAACATCATTTTAAAAAGGGACTAAAGCTTGAGGGATTCAAAAGTTATGCAAATTTTAACAAAGTTTAAGCAAACGGCTCTAGAGCGTATAATAATATATAGTAGTACCGAAAAATCAGGAAAGGACCCAATAATGGGAAAATTGAATTTCTTTTTCTGAGAAAAAATATTTTTATATGAAATATATATATCTTTTTAATAAATATTTTTAGAACAGTGTTGGCTTGTTTGTGGCGTATACTTATAACTCCAATAAAATAGTAACATTAATTATAAATTAAATTAATTATATGTTTCCTGCATCAAATCATATATGGTAGTACCGAAAAATCAGAAGACGAACAATTAATGGGAAAATTGAAGTTTATTCGGAGAAAAAATATTTTTATAAAAAATATTTTTTTTAAATAATTTTTTTAAAGCAGTTTGTTAGTAAATGAATTCAATCTAAAATTTGTTAAAAGCCAGAAGGATTCAAAGTTTACGCAAAATGAAACAAAATTGAAGCATATGCCTGTAGAGCGTATGAGTGTTATTAATAGATACGTACATGGTGGCGTATGATTGTTATTTGAAAGGAACAATTTCAGTTAATTATACGATCTTCATAAATATATAATAAATATATATTTTTTTTTTTTTTTTACCCCTGAAGTATTCTTTTACAACCAATTTTTGCACGATTTTATATATTTTTTTTATAAAAAATATAATAAAATTTCCTGCATAATTTTATGGGAAATGTTTTTTTTTTAAATTTTGTTGAAAATTCAAAAAAAAAATCAATAGGCCTCGGATGCCTGGACAATCTGAAAGACTTTTTTGGTACACCCCTGGACATAGCTCTAAGAAAAGCAAATAAAAAAATCGAAGAAAAAAATCAAGTATCAAAAGCCCACAAAGCTACTCGATCCTACGTAGACCTTTGGGACCCACTGAATTTTAGTTATAATTTTTTCGATGACTTGGCGAGACGAACAATTTTTTAGAAAGATTTTCTAAGACCTTCCACGCATACACTTTCAGGAACCAAAAAAAAGTTTATGTAATTTTTTATTATAGATGTCCGAATTATAGAAATTTCATATTCCTCTGAAATATATTATTGTACATCTTTAGTAGTGCTCCGAGACTCACAAAATTTCATAGAAAAATTGTCGTTGTAAAATCGCGTAGAACAATTATGTTTTATTGAAAATTTATTTTTTGGAACATTCTTTCTATACAAAATTTGGAGATTTTTCCTAATACCTACAATATTTTATAGAAAACTTTGCGTGAGCACAAAAATTATGAACAAAATGTTTTTTGGCCTCAAAGAAAGAAACATCACCGAGACTTACAAAAAGTTTCGACCTGATAAAATTTTATAAAAAAAAAATGTTTCATAGAACACGGACCGACATTATACTACTGAAAAAAATTTCGGAAGCCTACAAAGTTGTATAAAATTTTATTTTTCATTTTGGGAAATTTTAGTTCCGAAGGTTAAAAAATTGTGGAGATAACCTCATGTGAAAATTGTTATAGTTTCGTAGTCATCCGAGATCTTCACAATTTTATACAAACATGTTCGTGGCCCAGATTCCATAGTTCTTTGAAGATAGAATTTATCTATTAGTTATTCTATAGAATCAAAATTGTTATGATATTTTTTTAAACTCCGTCTTTTTTTTTTTTTTTGAAAATTTTCATTGGCCTATGAGGCTAGACTCTTCGTGTTGGTCAAATGCTTAAAAAAAATTTGTCGAACTCTGAAAAACATTCCAAAGCGTATATTATATAAAAAAATATTTTGTTGTTGCAAAATGGTCAGGCTTATCCCTTTATTGTTGTTTTTATAAAAACAACGTTTGTTTATTAGTGGAGAACGATGGTAATGTTTACCAGGAGGTAAGGCAGGGAATACCTAGGTTTCGGAAAGAGCCACCAATCCTCATCAGTTCCCTTGTTTTTGTCTGGGATATTCTCCCCAGAAGTTATTTTAAAAATAACTTCTATGACAAAAAACATTTTTTACCCAAGTGACGAGATCGTAAGCTCAATAGAAGAGGAACCATAGAATTATATAAAACTAAAATTCTTTTGGAAAGTCTTCTAAATCTTACAACCGCACTTATAAACATTTTCATCTTTCTCCACTTGTTATGCTTTCGTTCAACCTGAACGAAGTAGCATAACCATGTAAGTTGGTTTTGTCTGTTACAACAAAAACCCCTTCGTCGACCGTGCCTTGTCTATAAATAGAACAGTGTGGCTTGTTTGTTCGGGATACCGTAGTATTTTGTTGTTGCAAAATGGTCAGGCTTATCCCTTTATTGTTGTTTTTATAAAAACAACGTTTGTTTATTAGTGGAGAACGATGGTAATGTTTACCAGGAGGTAAGGCAGGGAATACCTAGGTTTCGGAAAGAGCCACCAATCCTCATCAGTTCCCTTGTTTTTGTCTGGGATATTCTCCCCAGAAGTTATTTTAAAAATAACTTCTATGACAAAAAACATTTTTTACCCAAGTGACGAGATCGTAAGCTCAATAGAAGAGGAACCATAGAATTATATAAAACTAAAATTCTTTTGGAAAGTCTTCTAAATCTTACAACCGCACTTATAAACATTTTCATCTTTCTCCACTTGTTATGCTTTCGTTCAACCTGAACGAAGTAGCATAACCATGTAAGTTGGTTTTGTCTGTTACAACAAAAACCCCTTCGTCGACCGTGCCTTGTCTATAAATAGAACAGTGTGGCTTGTTTGTTCGGGATACCGTAGTATTTTGTTGTTGCAAAATGGTCAGGCTTATCCCTTTATTGTTGTTTTTATAAAAACAACGTTTGTTTATTAGTGGAGAACGATGGTAATGTTTACCAGGAGGTAAGGCAGGGAATACCTAGGTTTCGGAAAGAGCCACCAATCCTCATCAGTTCCCTTGTTTTTGTCTGGGATATTCTCTCCAGAAGTTATTTTAAAAATAACTTCTATGACAAAAAACATTTTTTACCCAAGTGACGAGATCGTAAGCTCAATAGAAGAGGAACCATAGAATTATATAAAACTAAAATTCTTTTGGAAAGTCTTCTAAATCTTACAACCGCACTTATAAACATTTTCATCTTTCTCCACTTGTTATGCTTTCGTTCAACCTGAACGAAGTAGCATAACCATGTAAGTTGGTTTTGTCTGTTACAACAAAAACCCCTTCGTCGACCGTGCCTTGTCTATAAATAGAACAGTGTGGCTTGTTTGTTCGGGATACCGTAGTTATCCCTTGGTTATGCTACTTCGTTCAGGTTGAACGAAAGCATAACAAGTGGAGAAAGATGAAAATGTTTATAAGTGCGGTTGTAAGATTTAGAAGACTTTCCAAAAGAATTTTAGTTTTATATAATTCTATGGTTCCTCTTCTATTGAGCTTACGATCTCGTCACTTGGGTAAAAAATGTTTTTTGTCATAGAAGTTATTTTTAAAATAACTTCTGGGGAGAATATCCCAGACAAAAACAAGGGAACTGATGAGGATTGGTGGCTCTTTCCGAAACCTAGGTATTCCCTGCCTTACCTCCTGGTAAACATTACCATCGTTCTCCACTAATAAACAAACGTTGTTTTTATAAAAACAACAATAAAGGGATAAGCCTGACCATTTTGCAACAACAAAATACTACGGTATCCCGAACAAACAAGCCACACTGTTCTATTTATAGACAAGGCACGGTCGACGAAGGGGTTTTTGTTGTAACAGACAAAACCAACTTACATGGTTATGCTACTTCGTTCAGGTTGAACGAAAGCATAACAAGTGGAGAAAGATGAAAATGTTTATAAGTGCGGTTGTAAGATTTAGAAGACTTTCCAAAAGAATTTTAGTTTTATATAATTCTATGGTTCCTCTTCTATTGAGCTTACGATCTCGTCACTTGGGTAAAAAATGTTTTTTGTCATAGAAGTTATTTTTAAAATAACTTCTGGGGAGAATATCCCAGACAAAAACAAGGGAACTGATGAGGATTGGTGGCTCTTTCCGAAACCTAGGTATTCCCTGCCTTACCTCCTGGTAAACATTACCATCGTTCTCCACTAATAAACAAACGTTGTTTTTATAAAAACAACAATAAAGGGATAAGCCTGACCATTTTGCAACAACAAAATACTACGGTATCCCGAACAAACAAGCCACACTGTTCTATATAAAAAAATATTTAAAAAATTAAAAAAAATTGTGGTAGATTCGGAGTTAAAAATGTTTAGAAACTATATAGAGATTTGTCGTACTGTTCCGAAGTCTCCAAAATGTTATAAAATTCAAAGACTACAATATCTAAAAAATATATATATATATATTTTAGTGGACTCTGAGTTTAACAAAATGTAACCAAAAATGTTCGCAGGCTTCTTATGGCCCAAAAGATTGAAATATAAAATATATTCACCATTTAAAAAAATGTGGTTAATTGCGGCTAACAAAAAGTAGTCAATAATTTTCCTAGACTTCTGAAAGGGACACACAATTTTACAGAAAAGATTTTTTTACGGTCCCAAATTTTTATAAAAATTTTCATTTTTCAAAATATTTTCATATTTTTTCATAATTATAAAAAATATGATTCTACTTAAATTCACTATTTATTTTACAGTTCACATTTTATTTTTTGTTTTTGGCAGGCCTCTGAGGTTTTGAAGATGAAAATTTTAAAGAAAATTTTTCACAATTCCTCTAAATAATTTTATAACATTTTTTAAGCTTCCGCAACTAACTAAATTTTCTAAAAAAAATCGTAGGATCCAAAGTCAAAAGAAATAATTTCTCCCTAAGCCTTCGAAAATGTCGAAAGATTACACTTATTTTTTCCTTAACCTTCAAGTTGCAGACATTTGCATAGATAAAATAAAAAAAATTATAAAATTTGTTAGATTTTCTAGGTATTAAAATTGTAAAACTGGTACAAAATTTTATTAAAGAATTATTATTTTATTATTATTATTATTATTATTATTATTATTATTATCAATAAAAGGAAAGGATGGAAAAGCTGCATCAGAGAACTTAAAAACAGAAGAGTTAAAATCGAATTCAAATCCCTGATGATGACTATCGAAGATAGTCGAAATATCCGACAAATAAATTAATATATAAAAAAACAAATTCGTCTGTTTTTTTAAATTCTGACCTCGAGCCAAACGAAAAACCAGAAGAAAATATTATTATTATTATTATTATTATTATTATTATTATTATTATTATTATTATTATTATTATTATTATTATTATTATTTTTTATTGGCATTTTATTCAAATTCCACTCTTCTCTTCCCCATTGTTTATATTCCCTTCTTTTCTTTATACCATCTTATTAAACTGTTTTTAAATTTTATTTTCTATTTTTTCCGCTTTTCTCTTCTAGAACGATTCCAAAATGGTATTCGATGTGTGTTCACGCATGCACGACACCGAACCCTTCTCAGAGGAACTTTTAGCTGCCATGAAACGGCTATGGCAAGACGCCGGTGTTCAAGAGTGCTTCTCGCGCAGCAACGAATATCAATTAAACGATTCTGCTAAATAGTGAGTATTACCGAAACTTACTTTTTTACACATTTACATCTGGGGTCCAACGCCAGCCACACAGCCCTATGTTTTGGGTCAAGGTGAACGGCGATTTTTGATAAGTTATTACAATAACAAAACAATCGGCTTCTTTTATTTGTAAAGAATTTTTTTTGTTTACATTTGGTGGTAACCTAAAATAAAACACTAGTCATATCTTTGCCTTCAACAATGGACCCATTACAGTTGTCTAGCCCAGACAATAGGTACAACAACCACCAGTAAGGCAGAGATGTAAATTTTGAAGAGAGGCAATGTTTAAAAAATTTAAATTTTTTGGAATATTTTATTATTTTATTGGTGAATAAAAACGGTATTCACGTGTTATAATCCGTTCATCAAACTCTTTAGTATGAGTACAACTTATGGCAAAGTAATCACAGATGTGGGATAGCTATGAAATATATATTTTTATTTTTTTATGCACCTGATTTCTAAAAAAATGCTAAAACATTTTGTAGATCTCTAGAACTTAACAAAAAAAAAACTGGTGTTGGTTTTTTAAGGCTTCTGTAGGCTCAAGATTTTTTTATTAAATTTTATAGGCCTTCGAAAAATTACGGTCATATCTTAGAAAAAAGAACTATGAAAAATATATAAAAATTCTCAATTATTGTATGTACAGGGTGAGATAAAAAAACTGCAAAAAGTCAAACGCCATAATTTTTTTTTTAATTTTATTTAATGAAAGCAAAAAAGGTCGGAAAAAGCATCAAATTTTAGAATAAGGTTAGATTCGAATAGGTCACCTTTGGCACGAATTATGGCCTCCAAAGGCCAATGAAAGCATCACACGCTGCCCGAATGTTGCTCTGCGGTATTTTGGTCCATTCCCAGCGATGCGCTTGCTTGAGGTGATCGACATATTGGTATTTTTTAGTCCCAACCTTGCTTTCCAAAATACCCCAGACACAATAGTCCAACGAATTCGGTATTCGAAGATTTTGGTGGCCATTGTGCGCTGAAAATGAAGCGAGGAACCTCATTTTGTAACCATTCTTGGGTGGCGTGTGCTGAGTGCGATGGTGCTGAGTTCTGTTGGAATGTGCAAGGTCTGCGGGCCAAAATGTTTGTGTACCCAAAAGCTCTAATACTATCCTCCAGAATATTTTCGCGATAATATTCGGCATTTATTCTGATGCCACGGTCGATTTATACGAGCGAAGAGCGACCATTGGCTGTTATGGCGGCCCACACCATCACCATGGCCGGCGCTTGAGTTCTGGTGGCCAACCGAAGGTGCACATTTCCAGCTGACCTCTTTGGCAAGTAAACACGATTATTTAGTTTGTTTACAAACTGCTGGACAGCGAAATGTTTTCTCATCGGAGAAAACCAAATTCGGCAGTTCACCACTTTCGGCTAAGCGAAGCAACGTTTTGGCTCTTTTGAGTCTATTTTCTTTCTGTTGCGCTGTAAGTTCTTGCACTTTTTGGTATTTCAATGGCTTTACCCCGAGCTTATTTTTTTATTTGCTGAATGGAATATTGCGATATGTTCAGCTCACGATTCTTTTTTTTTTTTTTTTTTTTTGGACAAATTTTTCGGATATGCAGTGGAAATATAGATTTCTTTTGTTTAGTGACTTATAATGAAATTTGGCGAAGAATATATTTGCCTTTAATGTCATCCTTCTGAAATGATGCATTGTTGGAGATTTTCACATAAATCCAAATAAAGTCCCTAGAATGTGTTTTTAATATTTGCGAATTAGGTCAAATTTAGACTTTTTTTGTCTATCGTAAAATTTTTTGACACATTCTGCCTAAAACAACATTCTGCTCGAAAAAAGGCTGAGGAAAAATTTTGTGAAAAAATATGAAATATCTTCGGTGTTTTTCTTTTTTTTTGGGAAACATTGATGCAAATATTTTTCGGATACGCAGTGGGAATATAGATTTCTTTTCTTTACTGACTTATAGTGAAATTTGACGAGGAATATATTTGTGTTTAATGTCATCCTTCTAAACTGATGCTATGTTGGAGATTTTCACATAAATCCAAATAAAATCCCTAGAATGTGTTTTAATATTCACTATTCGAATTTGGTCAAATTTAGACTTTTTATGTCTACTGGGACCTATCGTAGAATTTTTTTTGACACATTCTACCTAAGACAATAATCTATGATACTTTTAGGCGTCAATTTGAAAAAAGGACGAGGAAAATTAAAAAATAAAATAAAATATATAAAATTGCTTTGCTGTTTTTTTTTTTTTTTTTTTTTTTGTGAAACGTTGATGCAAATATTTTTCGGATATGCAGTGGAAATAGAGATTTCTTTTCTTTGATGACTCATAGTGAAATTTTATGCAGAATATTTTGATATTCTGACGTCATCACTCTAAAATGATGCTTTGTTGGAGATTTTTGCATAAACTCACATAAAGTACGTCTTTAACCTTTAATATTTGTGAATTCCTGGTGATTTACACCTTTGTCGTCTTTTAGGACCTATACTCGATTTTTTTTTTGGCGCATTCTGTCTAAAAACCATATTTTATGATACTTTCAAGCGTCAACTCGAAAAAACCAAAGACAAATTGGGAAATATTTTTTATTTATTTCTTATATTTTATTTTCTTTTATTTTTTTATTTACTTTTTTTATTTATTATTATTTATTATTATTATTATTATTTTTTTTTTTTGAAACATTTGTTTACATATTTTTATTGGATATGCAGTGGTATTGGCGATTTCTTTTCTTTGATGACTTATAGTTAAATTTAACGAAGAAAATTTTTGTCTTCGACGTCATCCTTCTAAAGTAATGTTTTGTGGGAGATTTTTCCAAAAACTCACATAAGGTACCATTTTAACCCCTAAATATGTTTTTGATATTTTTGAATTCCTGCCGTTTAGGTAGGATTTAGACTTCTGATGTCATATAGGACCTATAGTAAAATTTTATGGCAAATAATTCTGTCAAATATTCTGACTTGCTAGGATCCCATTTTAAGGGAGTTTTTACGCATATTTTCAAAAAGGACCAAAAAGACCCCTATGTTGATTCGCTTGAGGGTTAAATTTTTTAACCAAATGAAACCTCGTATTGTTATCTGCAATATTGCCAAAGACACTATATACCTATGAACAATCGATTTCAAGGAATTTTAATCCGACATTTCAAAATATTTTAAAATTCAAAAAAAAAAAAATGGAAGAGAGGGGAACTTATCTCCTTTATTTCGATTACTTTGCAATGTAAACTATCAAAACGCCCATAAAGGAGGAGGTCTCCTTTTTTAGTTCTACTTTCTTAATCTGCTGGAATTTCCCCTTAATTATTATTATTTTTCCACAATTTTTTTATATTAAATACAAATTTATTTTTAATATAATTTAATATTTGGTTGTAAAAAATAAAATTAATATTTTTATAAAATATTTTTTTTTCGCTTTTTGCCTAAAAAATAAGGCCTATAAATAATATTTACATATGGAAATTGATATGTACATATTTATATATGTATGTATGTAATTTCATATTCATTTCCTCAAAAAAAACATTCAACGGCCCCTTTGGCCATCCATCTCCAAACCTGGGAGATGATGTTACTCTTCCCTTACAGTTAATTTAAAATTCAACGGTGATTCTGGAATATAGGTTGAGTTGACTTTGTACTCCAGTTCGCCATGATTGTATTCCACTTTGTATTTACGGAAGATCTGCAAATAAACAACGAACAAAACAAAGAGAGGGAATGTGAAGGTAAAACAACATGTGAAACATCTGACAAAAAAAATCATGGCATAGGCAGACCAGCTAGCTGGCAGGTATTTCTCCTAATATTTGTTAACATCTTCTAGGCAGCCATCGTTTTGTGTTGGGCATTTCAATTTCCCTTCCAAACACAGGCACACACACACACAAAGTGAATGGCTGGAAGGATCCAAATGCTGTTGATGACGATGTGTAAAGTGTAGTGACTTGTAAGTGAATGGCATCATGAAAAAGCCCATCTAGGCTTAAGTGCTTTACCTGCCAGCCATCCAGCCTGCCTTTCCATCTCCAAGGCTGCTCCCTTGCCATATATGTATTTTTTTGTTTCAAGATTTTTCTCCATTTCCCCCAATCTCTTTTCCAAAACTACTTACCTTTGCCAGCAGAGTATGTAATTCGATTTCCGCAAAACGTCGTCCGACACACATGCGACGCCCATAACCAAATGGCAGACTAACAAATGGATGTATTTTGTGGCCATCATGTGGACATCTATTTGCATTTGGATTACCATCTGTTGGAGGAGAGAGAGTGAGAGAGAGGAAGCGAGGTAGAAGAGAAAAAAGAAAATTAACGACTCAATGAAAAACATGTTATGTCAATAGGTATTTTTTTTTTTTTTTTTTGGAATAGGAAATGGAGTGGGAGGGAGGGAGTATGCTTCATCTTTGTGGAATATGAACCCTGTAATGAAGAGTCCTTCAAATTTTAATTAAACCCTCTTGATGAAAAGCAAATGACAGGAATTTGAAGAGGGACTTTAGAAGGAAGAACTTCCTTCTAAAGTTTTTGTTTCCTTTGTTTCAGGAAATTAACTTTGGGTTCTATTAATTGGAAGTTAACGCAAATAAATTTACTTAGCTTTAATTTATTTTTGGATAAAGACTTAAACAATGAGGGAAGGAAGTACATCTAAGAAGAATTCTAAAGAGCAGGTGTGGGGTTGGAATTTATTGTATTGGTGGGAAAGGATATCCATTGGGAGTAACCTCTGATATTAAGTGCCCGGTAATAAAACAGAACGGACTTATATCAATAGAAACCCAGAAAAAGTTCTTCAGGCTGTAGAAGAACGGAAAATTGGCTTCTTTTTTATAGAAACCCCTATTAAAGACCTGTTGAAGACCCTTAATTAAAATCAGAGCACAGATTTGCTTATTTTCACTCGAGAGCGAAACGTACTGACGAGCAGAATTGTAGGGTGGAGAGGTGGATTGTGTGGTAAGGAGGGAAAATGGGTAAGGAGAGGATGATCTTGTACAGAAAAATACACATACATACAAATACAACAATGCTCTGATGAAAACTATAAAAGTACACGGCAAGAGTAGAATCTGTTCGATATTGAGAGAATTTTGCTCCCACTTAAAAATGAAAAAAATATGCCCCCTCATATTCCAGCCACATCGAAAAAGAGTGCTTGGTAAGAGTAGAGTCTGGTCGATATTGAGCGAATTTTGCTCCCACTTAAAAATGAGAAAAATATGCCCCCTCCTATCCAGCCACATCGAAAAAGAGTGCTCGGTATGAGTAGGATGTGCTCGATTTTGAGCATACTTGCTCCCACTGAAAAAAGAAGGAAATATTCTCCCCTATGTTCGAGCCATATCGAAAAATAAAAGTTTGCTCGATTTTTTCTGCTCCCAGGAGCGCACTCGCTCGAATTGGAGAGGGTTTCACTCTTGGCAGAAATTCGAGTGAGTTTTTGGAAAGTCTAGTCTATAGAAAACCTATAAAAACTGTTCAGTGAACAGAAGTGCTCTACAAGATCTTCTGACGACAGAAGAAGTGCATTAGGTCCGATAAATGTTCGTACAAATCATAATACCTTTTAAGGAAATTTTGTGGGAGGAAAATCTGTTTCCCCCTACATGCAGGCATACATGCACTTTTATAGGTCTTATGTCGATACATGAGCTTCTGCAAGCTATTTAAGGCATCCGAGCTTTCTGAAGAGCTTTAATAGGGTTTTATAAACAGATGATCTTTTGCCGGTCTTTGTTTGACAAAAGAGCTCGTATATTCCCAAAGCCTTTACAGAGCTCCCTAAGGAAAAAAATATATGGGTATTCTATGAATGGAAGCGTTTTTACAGGTTTTCTATAGAAGGTAAGACTTCGAGGTGTCTTCTAAAATCAGAAGACTTTTAGAGGACTTCTGAAAACAGAAGAGCTTTTTTAGAACATCTTAGAAACTTTGAAGAGTTTTTATAGTCTTCTATTGACTGAAGAACTTTGACAGAACTTCTTTTACAGGAATAAGATATTACAGGTTTTCCTTTCACAAAACAGTGAAAGAAGTTCTGCCAAAATTCTTCAGTCGGTAGAAGACCTATAGAAACCCCTCAATGTCTTAAAAAAGTCTTTTAAGAAATATTAAAACTCTTCTGTCTTTAGAAGACCTCTAAAATATCTTTTGGTTTTAGAGGATTCGCTGAAGACTTATCTACTATAAAAACCGTGAAAAAAAACTGATCCGATCATAGAATATTCGGAGCATTTTTGAGGCTTGCAAAAACGTTGTGTCTTTAAAAGCTCTTCTGTCTACAGAAGATCCGCGTATAATCATCTGTTCATAAAAAAAAAACAAATAAAGCTTTTCAAAAAGGTTGGATGCCTTGAATAAGCTTCGGAAGCTCATGTATCAATATAAGACCTGTAAAGCTCCTTCTCTGTCTGTACAGGAACTGTAAAAGCTCTTCCGTCTATGGAAGACATATAGAAGTTCTTTTGTATATAAAATATTGCTAAAAAGCTCGTTCGTCTTTAGGATCGTCGTAAAAACTATTTTGCATGAAGAAAAACGCTAATAGGTCATATGTCAATATAAGACCCCTGATAGGTCTCTAACAGGTCTTTAACCCAAAAAAGACCCGCGTAAAGAATTCTGTCTATGAAGGCCCTCTGAAAGGTCTTCTTTCAAAGGAAACTTTTCAGAGGTCTTCCGTCCATAGAAGTCTCCTGTAGTCAAAGGGAGACCTGAGAAAGGTATCTTGGCTTTAGAAGTTCTCAAAATATGCCTCCTTTAGATAAAATACTAGTAACAGCTCTTCAAAAAGCTCTCCTGTTTTTGGAAACATGGAAAGGTACTTCTGTTGTTATAGGGCATGCAAAGGCTCTTCTGTCCTTTAAAGACCTATAATTGCTCCACTGTCTAGAATATATTTTTTGGCTATAGAACTGTTAGAACTGTACTTTAGAAGACTCTTAGACTTTCTCAGGATTCCTTCGAAAAATGTTCTGTTAAACATTTTCGGACTCAGGAATATCTAGAGAATTTTGCAGTTCCCTGAGATCTATCAAAATTTCGTCATAGATTTTTTTACTCAGGATTTTATGTAATTTTTTGAGCCACTGTATCCCATTTGGGTACATTGCCCCTTCAAACTTTTTCTTTTTCTCTGTGATTTTTATTTTGCGCCGCAACTAACTTAGCCACATTTCAAAATTGTTACTTACTTTGCTGTTGTTGTGTTTCGGTTTGCTTAAGCCAACGTTCCGGTTGGAATGATTTCGGTTGAGGGAAATACGCTGGATCGTTCGATACCACCAAATGGGGGAATATTACATTTGTCTGGAAAAAATGGAAAACAAATATTACTCCTCTTCAATTATTGAAAGGCCCGGACAATTCTCAATTTGGAAAACTTACACCCTTTGGTATGTGATAGCCATTGATAATGGCATCCGACTGCAGGCTGCGACCATTGGCAATGACGACGGGATACATTCTGGAATTGGAAATAGAAAAAATCCAATATTGATATTTAATTATATAAAAAACGTAATTTTTTTTATCGACATCTAAGGCCTTATAATTTCTAATGGATGTTATAAAAAATTTATAGGCGTATAGATGGTCTAAGGTGATTTTTACTATAAATTCACGGAATCTTTAAATTCCAAAAATGGACCTCTGGGCCCAAAACATTTTAAAGCTAGTTCTATAGAACATTTCTCAATGAGGTCCGATGACTTAAAAGTTAATCTCAACAATTTTTAGGAAGTTTTAAATTGGTTTCCTCGTTAGTTCGGCAAGACCACTAGATCCTACAAATGTTCATAAGCCAACAGGTCTAAAACTTTTTCGTTAGCCTCTTGGAGCTTATAAAATTATATAGAAACAATATTACAAGGCCTCCTATAGCGAATATTTTTTATTGATCTCCAATAGCTTAAGATTATGATTGAAAATGTTCACAAGAGACTTAAAATGTTTTAGAAGTTATTTGATAGCCTCTTGGACATAAAAAATAAAGTTTTCTGGAAAATGTTGCTAAGGCGGCCTTCACAGACTACGTAAGCCTACTGGGCCTTATACAATTTTGTCCCCGACCTGCTTAACCAACTTAACATGAGGATCAGTCTTGACGCGTAGACGTGTGATAAATCTTGGTTTTTGAAAATTCGTACTAAAAGTGTACGAAAAGTTCTAAATGGTACTAAATTTGGAATATTGAACGGATGAAGCTGGAAATTTAAAATTTTAATTTTTTAAAATTAAATTAAAATTTTTTTTGTCTGTGGTTGAGAGAAAGGGCTGGTTTTGGATATGCGTAAAATACCAAGTTTGGTATTGATAGAACGTACCGAGCTCGTCTCTGATTTTGAGGTCAGTGACAGGGTCAAAATTTTTAATAACCAAAACGCTCATAAAATGCGGAATAAGCCTCCGATTCTTTCTAAACTTCACACTTTCCAATATTTTTACTGCCACAAGATCTCGTGTGAAGATGGTAGATATCGATCCAACTCTTCTGGTAACTCCCCCATAAAGAGTTGCAATTTTCAATGCTTATATCTCTAATAACCTGCGAAATAAGTCAGCGATTCTATTCATACTTGGTACATCTAAATATTTCGTTTAACCATGGATCAGGTATAATGGCCTTAGCATAAAATAATTTTCGGCGACCCTGCAAAATCTACAGAAAAAATTCGGAGGGCAAATCTTTTTCGCTGACTTTCAAAGCCTTTAAAATATTTAAAAAAAATTATTTATTATTTATTGGCTCTGGGACCTACAAAATGTTAAGAAAACTTTTCGTTGATCTCTTCTAAATTTTTTAGAAACAATTTTCATTGACTTCAGAATCTTACAAAATTAAAAAAAATCAGATACCTAAAAATGTTATAGAAAAAATTTTCTTTGAGTCTTGGGGTGTAGAATATTTTCTAGAAAAAATTTTAGAAATTTGTAGCTGAGACCTGAAACCTTGATTTTTTTACTTCTGGTACCCACAATATTTTATTGAATATTTTTTCATTATGTAAAAAAAATTAAGGCCTGCAAAATTTGTTGCCAAAATATTCCGGAGTCCATTAAAATTATAACATGCCCTGAAGGCCTACATAATTTCTTTAAATTTCTGTTTGCATTTTACATCCTTGTTCTATGAACAAAATATCCTGGAAGGAAATGACTTCTTTTTTTCTTCTTCTTCCTCATCTCACCCCATCGCCTGCACCTCATCCATCTCAGCTTCTTTCATACGTACCTTAAAGTTTCCTTGACACATGCCCTTAAATATGGTATCTGCTCAAGGACGTTCTGATTAATTTCCGCTTCATGGGTACTGGGAAAGACTTTTTGCAGTTCTTGGAAAAGTTTTTGTTGTTTTTCGGGGTTTTTGGCCAATTGATAAATGGTGGAGGAGACAGCCACAGAAGTCTGCAATGAAAGCGAACACGAACACACACAAAAAATGTTTATACCCATTCACATACACAAACACATACGTAGAGATATTCGTGAGTACTCAAAGTGGAAATTGAAAGCTTTTAATTAATTAATTGAAAATGTTTTATGTTGTTGTTTGTGTGTGTGTTTTTTTTTCCTCTGTGCTACCTACCGTATCAACACCCACTAAAAAGAGATCCAAGGCCAAAACAGCAGCCAACTTACGATTGCCAGTTTTGCGAACAATTCTCTCAACGATGCTGATGTCAGCTTCCGCCCTATTCAAGTTCGTGCACGAATCGGCCGCATCCATGGTACGGCTAATGTTTTTCATGCAGATTCTGGGCGAAAAAAATGGAAAATTTATAGATTTTTATAAATGAGTATTCATTTTTTTTTTTCGGAAACCTACTCTGTAAAATCATCCAAGGCTTTAATAAAGCTACGATAGGCCTTGGTGGGATAAAATCTCCACACGGGCATTCTCAGCTCCAATTCGGGTACGGCCCAAAAGAATGTATTGATGCAATTGATAATTTTCTGTGACTCTTCATTGCCCTGGGGTGACAAGCAGCCCAGACGGGTGTCCAAGGCAACACGACCCACAGCTGAAATAGAAAATTCATTTTAATTTCTTTCAAGTGGCTTTCATTCCGGTTTTTTGGCTTACATTCCAAGGCCCATTTGTAGAGTTCGTGGAGAAAATTACCGGGTAATTCATTATTTTCGTCACGCATTTCATGGATTCTGTAATGAATGAAGGAGAAATTACTTTTAATACTCTTAAGAAATATTTTACTAAGGTAGTTTGAAAATGGGAAGAAATATTATTTGAAAGCCTTTACTAAATATTTTGCTAGGGTAGTTTTGAAAATGGGAGGAAATATTTTACCAACACGAATACTCTTCTGGCTGACATGATCCATTTTAAAAATGCGTAGTGGCTATATAAGACATAAAAAATATTTCGATGACCCTCCAAAGCCTTTAAAATTTTTCAGAAGAATTTTCGCTAACCTCTGAAGCCCAGAAAATTTTGCCCTGAATCTTTGAGATCTTCAATTTGATATAGAAAACATTTCTTTGACTTCTGAGATCTACAAAATTTTTGAAGCATTTTCTATGGGTTCTTGAAACTTAAACAATTTTATAGAAACAATTTCGAAGTTCTAAAATTTTCATCAAAATTTTTCCGAGGGCACAATTTTTTTTAGAAAAAATTTACTTTAAATATTTTTTTATGTTCGAGTTTTTTCCTTTTTTTTAGGTACTTATTTTTTTATATTTCTTTTTACTTCTGACTTTTTCTGAGGTCCTGATTTGTTTTACGTCTGAATTTTTCTGTAAAATTTTTCATCATTTTATAGTTTTATAGCTTGGGCTTATTTAGTTTTCTTACCTCACCATGAATTCACTGGCAATATCATTGAGTGGCGGTATATATTTTTTTGCTGTTTGTGGCTGCAATAGGATCTGTTGGACCTCTTGGCGGAATGTTTCCCAACTCTTGCCATGTCTAACACAATGAAAAAAATTAATTAAAAATATTTAATATTTGATTTGATACTCACACTCCAATCAGACCGGCAACATCTCCGAAAAAGTCCTTTCTCAAAACACCCTTGTATCTTCTCAGGGAGGGCATTGAGGGTCTGAAAAATAAACAAAAAAAAAATAAATTAAAAAAATATTACATTTTCAATTTTGATTTAAATTTCAGCATTTCAAAATTAAAACATGTTGCTGCAACATAAACAAATGTTGAGGCAATCTTTAAGGAACGTTTCGTGAACATAGATACATGTTGAGTCGGCATCAACAACTGAAAGTGAAAACATGTTGTTTCAATATTTTTCGATACTGAATAGACTTGCCATTGCCATACAATTCTTTAATTGAGGATGAATTATCTCTTTTTTTAAAGTGACATAGAAAATGTTTCGATGAAATACCGAAATGTTGCGGAAATATGGAAATATATTTATATACATTTTTTTATTTATTTTGATTTAAATGTCGGCTATCCAGAATCGACAAATGTTGCTACAACTTTGCCAAATGTTGAGGCGACCTTTAAGAAACGTTGCGTAAACATAGTTTCATTTTGAGTCAACATCAATAAAGTTTGAAGAAATATTGCCTCAACAACAACGGAAAATCAGAACAAGTTGTTTCAATATTTTTCGATACACAATAGACTTGGGAGTTTTCTTGAATATTTTGATTGGTATATACATTGCCATACAATTCTTTAATGGAGGATAAATTATCTCTTTTTTAAAAATGACATAGAAAATTATTTAGATAAAATACAGAAATGTTGCGGAAATATAGAACAATTTTTCGCTACTTCAGAACTGAAAAATGTTGCTGTATTGATTTTGATTCAAATTTCCGCAATTCAGAATCGACAAATGTTGCTGCAACATTGACAAATGTTGAGGCTACCTGTAAGGAACGTTTCGTAAACATAGATACATGTTGAGTCAACATCAATAAAAGTTGAAGAAACATTGCCTGCAAATCAGAACATGTTGTTTCAATATTTTTCGATACTCTTGAGAGTTATGTTGAATATTTTAAAGGGATATACATTGTATACGTCATTTAATTCTTTAATTGAAAAAAAGTATCGACAAGACACACAAATGTTGCAGCAAAATAGAAAATTTTTCGGAACTGGTTGCTGCAAACTTGACAAATCTTTAGAAAAATGTTGATGCAACATAGATATGTTGATGATTGTTGCGTCAACTTTGTAGCATTGTGGAAAAATGTTGACGGGACATTTTTCAATTTTGAGTAAGCATCGCTAAAAAGATGAAGAAACATTGACAAATGTTAAGGCAACACAGCCCAAAAACCTCAAAATGTTCTATATTTCGAACATTTTAAAGCTCCATTGAATATAAAATATATATTTTTGTAGGTCATACAATTCTACAACAGAAATCGAATTGAGAAATGTTGCTGCAACATGGATGCAACGAAGATATGTTGACTCAACATTTGTCAATGTTACATCAACATTGTAGCAATAACATGTGCCCTACGAAAATATGTCGAGCCTTACTTAAATGCCTGCTAAAATTGGGAAGCCCTGTAGTTCTATATAAAATTTTCGACAGAATGCTGCATTCCCGAAAAATTAAGACAATTATTTATAATATGTTTTAGGATTTAGAATCCGACCTAAAAATTAATGCAACATAGCAACATACTGCAGCATGGACAAATGCTTTTTCAACATTGGGTTAAGATGAGGAAACATGTTGATGCAACATTGATAAGACTCGAAGGCTTCACAATAATTAATCTGCTAGATTTTACAGGCATCGGTCGTCAATTATTTTTTTATTTAATATGAAGCCCTCCGAGGCCTCAACAATTTTTTATAAAGTGTTAAAGACCCTCAGGACACACAGGTCTCTCAAAAAAATTACTATAAAATTTTGAAGGCATCGGATCGTCTATGAAAATTCTTATTACTCGCTGTGACTCACAATATTAAAAGGAATATTAAAAGTTTTTATTTTTTTTATAAAATGTTCTAAGTCTGCAATAAAGTGTTTAGGGTTTTCAGGCCTTGAAAATCCACGAAAACTGTTATTTAAATTTGGAAAACCTCTGAGGTAATCTAAAAATCTCCTATAAAAGTTTTAAGCCTTAGAGAAAAAATGTCTAACAAAGTTTGCATCCTCGAAGGCATTTGAAAAATCTATGAAATTGTTTAGACTTTGAAATCCCATAATAAATTGTTCTATAGAGTTGTTCAGACTCTGAAAATTCAAATTCAGAGTTTGGAGATTTTTTTCTACACAATATTGTAGGTCTCGCAGACTTGCGCCAGTGTTGAGGCAAGGTTAATGTACCTCAATGTGTACGCAACATTTATTAATGTTGAGGCAATATTTTTCAATGTTGAGCAACATTTCTTACTGTTGAGTCAACATTTTTTGGGCGCCCTCGAAGGCTTGTTTTTTAATATTTCTCATAAAAATGGAACAAATCTCTAAGGTCAAAATTCGTTGAAAGACTTTCAACGATTCAGATGACTTTTTTATTTTTTTTTTTTTCATGTCCTAAAGAGCCCAGCCTTTTTCTATAACACCTTTTTTACATGCTATAACATTTTTTTAAATCCGGAGACTATCGAAAAGTGTTCTTCGAAATAATTTAGATCTTAAAAGACTACGGAAAAACATTTGACAATATTAAAGCAACATTTGACAACGTTGAGGCAACATTTGATAATGTTGAGGCAACATTTGGCAATGTTTATGCAACATTTGTTAATGTTGTTGCAGCATTTTTACATATTTATGCAACATTAATGTTGTGGCAACAGTTGCTAATGTTGAAGCAAAATTTTGTCAAAATGTTTGCCATAACTTTTACGAACCGCGGCTACGAACCTCTAAGACCTACAAAATTTGATAAATTTGATAAAAATTTCAAGCCTTTAAAGTCTTAATCTCAGGAACCAGTGATAACTTTTCTCTATATACTTCATGAGATTTTTATTGATACGAATTGGTAGTCACAGACACTTACCAATGTTAACGCAACATCTGACAATGTTGCTGCAGCATTTGCCAATGTTTATGCAACATTTATTAATGTTGGCGGCAACATTTGTCAATGTTGAGTCAACATTTATCGACATTTTTGCCATACGTAAGGTTTTTGGACCACGGAAATCAAAGAAAAGTGGAGCTTAACAAATTCCCATATCCCAAAGACCTACGAAAAACATTTCCTGATTTTTTTTTTAATATTGAAAGGAGTACGCATTTTGTTCTGTTTAACATCAGGGCCCTGCGAAAAATTCTTCTATTCATTTTGAGAGACCTACGAAATTTTTCAGAGGATCTCCAAATTTTGTTCATAAAATATTTCGAGCCTGTATAGCATTCTCCAGAGTCCTCCATAAATTAATGGTTTTGTTTATAAATCAGATCCAATATTGACTTGGTTACATTTCTTTGGAAGTAATAATATTGTCATCCTGTATGAGTGGTTTGTTTGATGGCAGTTATTTTTCTTCCTCTCTCCCCCCAAGTTCCCCAATGCAATCGACCCAAAATTCTAGAAACAAATTGCCACACTAATGAAAATTACCCTGAATCGAAAAAATTACCATAAAATACCATTGTGGAAAATTGTTTTCAAATGAAGTTGATTACAATCATTTGCGAGTTTTGCTATTTGTCAACTCAACTCAATGCCCCTTCCAGCTTTTCCCCCTCACCTGCAATTAGCTGGCTCATTATGATGATAGAGCTTTCTCATGTCGATGTCATTCAATATTTGCTTTGCAACCAATTAAAAAATTAAGGTCAGTTCATAAAACAAAAACGACAACAACAACAACACCAACAAAGAATAGAGCAAATAAATTTTATGGATTTGTCATTCGGTGGTTAATTTGTTGATGACGAGAGAGAGAAGGGAGGGAAGAATCGCCAGCCACCCGCCCAGGAAGGCAGGCAGACGGTCGCGTAGACATTTTCCGCTAATAAATTGGCAACAATTTAGCAACTAATTTTGTCATCGTCATTGTGACATCTTTTTTTTCTGAATTCATTCGCCAATAAACAACCCCTCCGGCATCTACTGCTGCCTCCCCTAAAAGTGAAATATTTCTAAAAATTCTGCGAAAAAACACAAAGTGCTAGGGATCCCCAATGCATGACTGCCATAAATATTTCTGATGCAGGGGGGCCTTTGTGAATGACAAATATCGAAAACAGAAAAAAACGTATGGCACTGGCGACACATTAAACACGGATGATGATGACGACGATGACAAATAGCGAGAGCAAAGTAACAACAAATAATAAAAATAGCAACAAAACAGCCACCATTTCGTCGTATATTTTTAATAGATTTGTTTAATAATCCCCCTCAAAAGGCAGACTAGAAAAAACACCAACGTTTTTGAAAGAAACAAAAAAAATTCGACTGAAAATTCATTCATTCAAAATGTTTGCGTGCAGACATTGAGGCGCCCAAACTGTGGTACGAAATTCGCCAAAGAAAAAATAAAACTAAATTTTCAAAAAAAAAAAAAAAAAGAGAAAAATGATTGATAAGGGTTTGAACGACCGCCTAGAGCAGGGTAACGGAAATGGTATGTGCCATATTTGGTATATTAATTCATATAAAGTATACGCCCTGAGTTTCAATTAATTAATATTACTAATACGCTGGAAATACCGATCAAAAAAAAATTTGGAAAATTAGTTGAAACCCTAAATGTGTTTTGTAGGTCTCTGGAGACCTACGAAAAAATTCCTATAGAAATTTTGTAGGTCTCTGGAGACCTACGAAAAATTTCCTATAGAAATTTTGTAGGTCTCTGGAGACCTACGAAAAATTTCCTATAGAAATTTTGTAGGTCTCTGGAGACCTACGAACAATTTCCTATAGAAATTTTGTAGGTCACGGAGACCTACGAAAAATTTCCTATAGAAATTTTGTAGGTCTCTGGAGACCTACGAAAAATTTCCTATAGAAATTTTGTAGGTCTTTGGAGCCCTACGAAAAATTTCCTATAAAAATTTTGTAGGTCTCTGGAGACCTACGAAAAATTTCCTATAGAAATTTTGTAGGTCTCTGGAGACCTACGAAAAATTTCCTATTGAAATTT